TCCCGCACCTACCGCGACACCCACCATATATGAGCGCATTGCCGACTGTTTTTCTTACTGCTGAGATTGCTACGCTGTCTTTAGATGTTCTACGCGCTGAACTGCGACTGAGTGTCCCGCGGCTATCCGCCCTCCTCACGCCGCTTACCGCACCCGCGCTCTCGATATGCACTTCCGTGAACGGTTGAAGAAGACTTTCCGGCGCGCGTCGCACTCCGATGCCAAACCCACCACCACTACAGCGAACGGCGCCACCACCACAACCACCACCACACCCACCACCACCGCCATAGCCACCGCCGTCGCCGCCGCCGCAAAACCCAACCCTGACCCTCCCGCCAGCACCTACAAACCTGGCGAAAAGCTCCCCCCCCCAAAATACCGGCGGCCCGTAGACAAGCAGCACAAAGAACTCCTCGAAGCCTTCTCCTTCAACACCGCCTGGCGACGCAAGTCATCTCAGAGCCAGTACAGTCCCATGGGGTCGCGTGCGCCCAGCCGCAAGAACAGTGCGGAGGCGCAGGTTGGGCGGAGGAGTACGGCAAGTCGGTTTGGGGATGGGCCGGTGCATGAGCCGCATCGGGTTGCTGGGGAGGCGGTGGCTGAGGATGAGGAGGGGTCGGGGGGGGAGAGTACGCCGCGGGGGACGGGCGTTGAGCGCGACGACATACCGGTGGGAGCCATGGATCCGATGGTGCCGAGGATGAAGGACTTCGCGATTGGGGGGCCGTCGGAGAATAATCAGTTTATGACTGAGGAGGCGGCGCCCGTGCTGCAGAGGTCACATTTGGAGGTGCCGTCGTGATGGCATGCGCACTTGCATGAGGGAGACGACGTACGATTTATGTATCTGTATAATGAGGGATTGGGGACCGGTTGGCTACCAGGTTTGCGCGGCACAGCACACGGTGGGTACACCATTGGTATGGCATTTTTTGGTGTTTTAGATGAGAGGGTTTACGGGTGTAGCATAGGAATGTAGCGGGTCAGACGGCCTGCGCCCTTTGGATGGGCTCTTCTGTTACTGAACATTTTGGGCGGTGAAAAGCCGATGTCGCCCGCTTTTGATCACTTGCGATATCGCGTGGGTGCATCACCGACACCCCGCCACTGACGTGAGCGCCGCCCCCGCTGGGCCCCGGGCATGCGCGTCCTCCGCAAGCGGGGCGGGGTTCTCGATTGCTGGCCACGTTGCTGGGAGGAAATGAACTGAGATAGGTCGAACAGTCTGCGAACTCACATGTCCTCCATGCAAGTAGGAGGAAAAGATTCCAATTGTGTAATTTAATTCCGTTGTCGTGCATGTAGTGAAGTCGGTTTGGGAAGACATACTATTCGTGGGTGGCGTTGAAGCTTCTACCGGTATAAGCGGCCCGATTGGCTGCGGGTTTGAGCGTCGACTGCTACTCTTTGCTGGGAACTGCACTTGAGCTTGTGTCAACTGTCCATCAAACGCGTCCTTCGATAACTACCGACTTCGCTTTCGAGAGTCGAGTCGACCGAGCACCAGTCAAGATGAATCGTCGTATGGTTCGTTCACGCAGTCCAACGAGGCTCACCTCTGGCCTCATGCGCAGCCCGTCCTAACATATTCGTGTGCACCGCAGCTCTCAAAGGAAGACGAGGCGGCGGCCGAAGACACAGAGGTGCGCCGCGAAGACCAGGAAAAAATCAACAAATTCAGTCAGTTGCATCAGAAAGAGTCGTTGCTGGAAGCGGAGCTGAAGCAGAAGCAGGTGGGTCTTCGCTCGCGCCGTGATACTTACGCTGTGGAGTAACTCATGCATGACTTTTTTGCAAAATGCAGAAGGACAAGGAAGACCTTGAAGAGATTTCGAATGAGCTGGAGTTGGCGGATGAGGATGAGAAGGTCCAGTGCGTTTTTTTCCCCTTCCTGCGCGCCCTGCCGGAGACATTGCATGGATTGACGCGACGTAGATACAAGATCGGGGATTCGTTCTTTGCCCTGCCGCTTGAGGATGCGCAGCAGCTGCTCACTGAAGCCACGGAAAAGGTAGAAGAGGGCGTTGAGGGGTTGGAGGAGCAGCTTGGGGGACTGAGGGACGAAATGCAGGAACTCAAGGTGGCGCTCTACGCACGGTTTGGTAAAAGCATCAACTTGGAAACCTAATTCCGGCTTGGTGTGCGCTTGGCCGTGAGGCGACGAACAAGCCGACGATAATCTCAATCATTCGAAGCTAATTTGCAATCTCTGACTCGATATCTCTCGTCGAGACGATAACATTTATGTACCCTTTCGGAGTCCTCGCCGTCTGGCCTTCACTATCCCCGCTTGCACTCTGCTATTCCCCACCGACCAGGTCCCCCGGATCGACCAACCGTACCCCTCGCCGTGACGTCGCGCTGACAACAACCCCCGAGCCAAACCGCCCCCGGAACCCCAAGACTGCAAGACGGATCGCGGCTCGCAGACACCATGTCTGCCGCCCGGCTAAGCGTGCACACGATGCGGGGGCTCGCGCAAGGGCGTCGTCTTTGCCTGCTCCCATGATGCTCTAGCGCAACGCCATGGGCTAGTTGCCGTCATACCCGACCTTTTGCGACCAATATTATGCAGATCGGGTACAGGCTTCATCGGAATAGGCCCGCGGGGTGCCAGCGGAAGGTGCGTGCCGGTGGGGAGTGGGTTTTGGGGTCAATGGTGACTGCCGTTGTGGGCGGGGGGATCCACGCGTTACCACGGTTGAGGCGGCGCCGATGGGGGGATGAACTGGACTTTATCCTAGCTTAGCCCTTCTTATTATTATTTTTGTTCCTTCGCTGCGGTTTTTTGGGAAGAGAATGGTTATGGATCCGAGAGGTAGTCAAGATCTCGCGCTTGAGCGCAAGACGACGGGCGCATCTATTGCTAGAGGTATCTTATCGCTGCCGACGAGAAGACGTCATCGCTGATAGTGGTAGTCACTTCCCGGAACAAGGACCTCGAGAGCGACGAGAAAGTTGCGAACCTCAGGATGACCACCAAGGACAATGACAATGGGAGCACCCGGTCAAGCCTACCCAGCGATGTGCCCTCCGAAGACCATGACGGTCGGACATGTCTATACTTCGCCCCCGACGACCCAGAGAGCCCGTACAACTGGAGCTCCGTACGTGAAGCATGAAGTGTCGTCGAACCGTAGCTGACTCCAACAGTGGAAAAAGTGCTTCGTGGTCCTAGTCTCCATCCTCACCGTCACAAACAGCACCGTATCGTCAGGCCTCGCCTCGAATTCATCGGCCTACTTTGGCGAAGAATGGGGTATAACCAGCAGGTCGCTACTCATCCTCCCGACGTCTCTGTTCCTCGTCGGCTACGTCCTCGGGCCAATTGTCTTCGGGCCTCTGAGTGAGAGCTATGGGAGGAAGGACATCATGGTCGTAGCCTTCACGCTGTACACCCTCTTCACGCTGGGCTGCGCGCTAGCCCCCAACTTCGCCAGTTTCGTGATACTACGGTTCATCACCGGTATCTTCGCCGCATGTCCCATTGCCGTAGTCGGCGGGTACGTGCTCCAGCCAACCCCCGCGTACACACTGACCGCTCAGGACATGTGCCGACGTATACAAGACCGCAGAATCGCGCGGCCGCGCAATGGCCATCTTCATGGGCGCCACGACCTTCGGCCCCTGCGCCGGACCCATCATTTCCGGTTACCTGTCCCCGTCCGTCGGTTGGCGCTGGAGCTTCTGGACGAGCCTGATATATGCCGGCGTCACCGCCGTGCCGCTCCTGCTCGTGCCGGAGACGTTCGCGCCGATTCTGCTGCGCACGCGCGCGCGCAAGATACGCAAGGAAACGGGTGAGGACACGATGTATGCGCCGATTGAGCATGAGAGGAAGGATATGGCGCACATTATTACCGTGGTGCTCACGCGGCCGGTGCGGATGTTCCTGTTCGAAGGTGTGTCCCCCACCCCACTCCTCACGCCCCCCTTCCCCCCCTTCCCCGCCCCGCTAACCCCCAAAGCTATTGTCCTCTTCTCCTGCCTCTACCTCGCCTTCGCCTACGGCATCTTCTACATGTTCTTCCAAGCCTTCCCCATCATCTTCACCGACATCTACGGCTTCACGCCCGGCCAAGAAGGGCTCGTCTTCCTGTCCATCGGCGTCGGCGCGTGCATCGCCATCGGCATCTACATCTTGTGGGACATGATCATGGCGCGGGCGCGGGCGCGGAATGCCCGCTGGGCGCGGAGCGAGGAAATGAATAGATTGCCGTTGGCGTGCTTCGCTGGCCCTTTCCTTATTGCGAGCTGCTTTTGGATGGGGTGGAGTGCGAGGGCGGATGTGCATTGGATTGTCCCGGTGCTGGGCGGGGTGCCGTTTGGTATTGGGTATTTGCTCATTTTTATGGCGTTGTTGAATTATCTTGTTGATGCGGTGAGTTTGGGAACCCCTGACCGCCCGATCCGAGCTGATGAGCACAGTACAAGATCTTCGCCGCCAGCGCTATGGCCGCTGCATCAATGGTGCGCAGCGCTGCTGGCGCCGTGCTCCCCTTCGCGGCGCGGCCTATGTACACGAGGCTCGGGGTGCCGTGGGCGTGCTCGCTGCTCGGTTTCTTGAGCGTTGCGATGGCGGTGATTCCGTTTGTGTTTATTTGGAAGGGGACGAAGCTGAGGCAGCGGAGTAAGTTTTGTCAGTATTTGTTGCAGAGGGAGAGGGAGGAGGAGGAGGCCAGGGTGGGGAGGGAGGTGCCGGTTGTTTTTGAGGAGGAGAAGAGTGTGGATGTCAGGGCGTAGTTGAGGTGGAGAGGAAGGGGTGAGGGAAGTGCATGGATGGCGTATACATATGGGGTGCATTAGAGGTGTTGGGCTGCGGGTTAGATGCATTGCTCGTAATGAGAGGTAGATAGTAATTCATCCATTCAGTTTGCTTGATGTCTATGAAGCTTCCAAGAACCTCGATCTGTTGAATTGGCGGATATCCGCCGTTGGACATCTCGTCTTGGGCGAGATGGGATGTAACTTGGGAGCAAAGTTTTAGTCATAAATCAGGTCTTGTAGTGTAGTTGGTTATCACATCGGATTCTGATCTTCAGTTCAGAATTCACACTTTCCGGTAACCCCGGTTCGAATCCGGGCAGGACCTTCTTTTTTCTCCTCACTGTTTTTGGCTTTGCTTCGCGCCGTGGATTCGAGCTTCCTTTTTTGGTGTCGCCGTTTTCGAAGTGCTGGGTAGGGACGTAGGGCTGAGGATTATGCGCTCTCTCTTCGTGAGTGACAGACATACCGGCTCGATCAATGGCTGCTGCTTACCGAAGTTCAGTGTCGATGAACATGCACTTTATATTCGAGATGACATTCCAGGAGTATTTGTTTCGCCGTACGGTTATGCCGCTGTAAGCTGTTGGCTGGTGTAATTGGTATCTTACTCCTTTCTTAGCACTTCTCAACCTCTCACGATATAGGGCGCGGCATGACAATAGCAATGGAACTTCTCTTGACCAGGAGCACCGCATTGTGGCGATAGATACGCTAGATAGGCAAGAAAAGACAGATCGATTAACTCATTTAGGACATGGAGGTAAAAGTAAAATGTCAAGGCCGACATGCCTCGTGTGATCATGTAGCAAAGATACTCCCATTGAGGCAGTGTAGTTTCTGAGAGAGGGAGATCCCCGTCTTCCGCAGAAATCATTTCCATAGCAGTATCGAGTGTTGTACTTCGTCGCTTCCATGGGTGCAATTGCGATGTTGGAGTTCAGTGGTGAGGTTGAGGAGAGACGCCGTGGCGTTTGTCGAGGCATGTACCTACGTCATTGACGAAGGCCGTTCCTTCCGCCGTCCTCGTCTTCCGTGCTGCTCAAAATGTTAAGTCGAGCAAGGTACTCTGTACTAGGTAGGAAGTCTTATTCATAAGCACCACAGTGTCAGGTCCACGGAGGTTGATACGATTTATATTGTGTTTTGATTGTTTCGCGCTGGCGACTCCTTGCTCCGTTGACAGGGCGCTTGCAAGTCGCCTTCAGCGCTGAGGTAACTTCAGCCCACGTTCAGTCCCTGCGGCGGCTTGCCAAGCGCGGGTCACAGCCAGGTTTCGTCATCGCAACCGCGTCTCCAGTTCGACTGTGCGATCCGATCTCGTCCCCGCCTTCCTTTGACAGGCCGTTTATACTCATTTATTGCCGGGCTAGCGTTGGGACCCCTTTGAACTCCCTGTGACTGCCTCCATTCACTCAGCACCGGTAATACACGCTCGTTCGGTCACTCTCGCGAACCGGCTTCAATGACGACCTGTCTACCCGCGGGATATCCTCAACCTTCCTTTGAGTCCCGTTAAGACGACATACACAATGGCGGACCTAGATGCAGAGTTGCAGGCGAGGCTGCGGGAGCTGGATCGCGAGCTTGAGGTATATACAGGTGGCTGCCGAGATGGGCCCTGGGACTTGCGCTAATAGTGTGCAGGAGGGCGATATCACTAGAAAAGGGTACGACACTCACCCGGTGCCACTGCTGGGAACACTTCGAGATTTCTATAAAGCTGCAAGGATTGGCGCTGACAACGGCACAGTTATGAGAAGCGCCGAACCGTCATCATGTCGCAGTTCTTCAACACGGAGCAGACGGACGAACTCCAGAGTCGGCTACGGATACACAATGGCGACGAGCAGCAGGCGCAAGGGATAGAAGGGTCGCGCAACGCCTCCTTTGCCGCCCTCTCCGGAACCACCTTGGACCATCAGGGCAATGCCCATGCGCACTCGAGGAATGCCTCCGGCTCGTACTCTCCCGCATCCGCCCCCGGATATCCTCAGACTCAGGTTGGCCGGTTTCAAGAGAGGCAGTTGGGGGTACGGAATGTTACGCAGCAGCCCTACCCGCGCGATTCGTACCAGGCGAGGCCCCTAACACCAGATCCGTATGAATACGAGTCGCGCGGCGGGACGATGGTCGGCTCTGACTACCGCTTCAACCCTGCCATCCAGCCGACGTATGAGCACGATGGCGCAGGCGGAGAATATGGCTCTCCAGGACAGAGCAGGCTCAGTACAATGCTGGATTCCCAGCAAGGCTTCTTCTCGGATTTTGCGGGGCAACAGGCCTCGGAGGCGCCCCGAGACAGCTACGGTGGTGTGCATAGGTATTCCCAGGAGCCCTTCTCCCCAACCGCAATCATGGCTCCGCCTATGCTCGGTGCTCAGGACCTCCCGCCGGCTGCAATCGTGGACTGCCAGCTTCCCCTTGATCCGCGAGAAGTGCCCTTTGATGCGGTTGATCCCCATAATGCCGGCGTCCTTATGAGTAAGTTCGACAACCTCGGAGCTGTGCTTCGCCACCGTGGAAAGACCAACTCGAGACAGCCGGCCTTTTGGGTGTTGGACCCGAAGGGCAAGGAAACTGCATCCATAACATTCGAAAAGCTGCACAGCCGAGCCGAAAAGGTGGCCCAAGTCATCAAGGACAAAGGTAACCTATACCGTGGGGACCGTGTGGCTTTGGTGTACCGCGACTCTGAGATCATCGACTTTGCTGTTGCGTTGTTGGGCTGCTTCCTGGCGGGAGTTGTGGCTGTCCCAATGAACAACGTCGAGGAATACCAGAAGCTAAGCCTTCTGCTGACTACAACGCAAGCGCATCTTGCTTTGACGACGGACAACAATCTGAAAGCGTTTCAGCGTGATATTAGCGCGCAGCGACTCAAGTGGCCTACGGGTGTCGAATGGTGGAAGACAAACGAGTTTGGCAGCTACCACCCCAAGAAGAAGGATGACGGCCCGCAGCTCCCGACGCCTGATTTGGCCTATATTGAGTTTTCACGTGCTCCAACTGGCGACCTCAGAGGCGTGGTATTGAGCCATCGAACAATAATGCATCAGATGGCGTGTATGCAAGCGATCATTTCCACAGTCCCAGCCCAAGACAACGCGAGTACGGACACCTTCAATCCGAATTTACGCCATCCGGACGGGAGCTTTGTCGTACCGCCCCCCGCGACGAGCACGGAAAGCATACTGAGCTATCTGGATCCCCGCGAAGGGGCCGGCCTGATTTTGGGAATTCTTCTTGGTGTCTACGGAGGCCACACCGTTGTGTGGATGGAGGCCCGGACGGTTGACACCCCTGGACTTTACGCGCATCTCATCAGCAAGTACAAGGCCACAGTCATGGTCGCCGACTATCCAGGCCTCAAGCGTGCGGCCTACAATTATCAACAAGACCCAATGGCCACTCGCAACTTTAAGAAGAATGTGGAGCCCAATTTTTCGTCTGTGAAGATTTGCCTGATCGACACGCTGACGATTGATTGCGAATTCCATGAGCTCCTGGCGGACCGGTGGCTGCGGCCGTTGAGGAATACACGGGCTAGAGAAGTTGTGGCGCCGATGCTGTGCCTTCCGGAATATGGCGGTATGGTCATCTCCGTCCGGGACTGGATTGGGCGAGAAGAGCGGTTGGGTTGTCCGCTCAGTGCCACTCCATCAGAAGAGGATGATGATAAGGAGGATTCGCCTGACAATGCTGTCAATAATGGTTACAGCAGCTTGATTGGGGGCGGAGGGCCCGTGATGCGGTCGAACCATAAGAAGCACAGAACAGAGCTCTCCGAAGCACTTTTGGATAAGGAGGCTTTGAAGAGCAATCAGATCGTCGTCGTGGCAGTGGGCGATGAGGTGCAGAAGAGGGCGAATGACCCGGGCTTGTTGCGAGTCGGCGCATTTGGATATCCCATACCGGACGCCACGCTTGCCTTGGTCGACCCCGAAACGAACCTGCTTTGCCCACCGTACTCGGTCGGAGAGATTTGGGTCGATTCGCCGTCACTCTCAGGTGGATTCTGGGCTCTGCCCAAATACACAGAGACCATCTTTCATGCAAAGCCGTACAGATTCGTAGAGGGCAATCCGACGCCCGTCATTGTGGAACCGGAATTCCTTAGGACTGGTCTGTTAGGCTGCTTGATCAACGGCAAGATTTACGTCTTGGGGTTGTATGAGGATCGTATCCGGCAGCGGGTGGAGTGGGTTGACAACGGTGTTCCCGAGGCTGAACACCGCTACTTCTTCGTACAGCACCTTGTGCTCAGTATCATGAAGAACGTGCTCAAGATCTATGATTGGTGAGTCTGCACGGTAATGTGGTACGGCGCGCGCTGATGATATAGTTCGGCGTTCGATTCCTATGTCAATGGGGAGTATCTCCCCATAATCCTAATTGAGACGCAAGCGGCTTCTACAGCCCCAACCACAGCCGGCGGACCGCCACGGCAATTGGATGTGCCATTCTTGGAGTCACTATCTGAGCGGGTCATTGACGTTTTGTTTACGGAGCACCACCTCCGCGTCTACTGCGTTATGATCACGGTCCCAAATGCTCTGCCCAGGATCATGCGCAACGGGAGGAGAGAGATCGGCAATATGCTTTGCCGTAAGGAGTTTGACAGCGGAACTCTGGCATGCGTACACGTCAAATTCGGCATTGAACGAGCGGTACAGAATCTGCCGATTGGGACGGACCCGGGCGGCGGTATTTGGTCGCCACTTGCTTCGCAAGGGCGGCAGGTTATGCTCTATGAAAACGACAAGCAGTACTCTGGCGTTGATTATCGCGAGGTTGTCATGGACGACAGGACCGCAACTCCTCTGAACCAGTTCTCCAACATCCACGATCTCATGCAATGGCGCGTCTCACGACAGAGCGAAGAACTGGCGTATTGCTCCATCGATGGCCGAGGTAAAGAGGGCAAGGGTGTCAACTGGAAGAAGTTTGACCAAAAGGTCGCCGCCGTGGCCTTGTATCTGAAGAACAAGGCCAAGGTGCAGCCGGGCGACCACATCGTGCTGATGTACACACATTCCGAGGACTTCGTCTACGCAGTACATGCGTGCTTCTGCCTCGGCGCCGTCCTGATTCCCATGGCTCCCGTGGACCAGAACCGGCTAAACGAGGATGCGCCAGCGCTGCTCCACATCGTAGCTGATTTCAAGGTCAAAGCTATCCTGGTCAACCACGACGTCGATGCCGTCCTGAAGCTCAAGCCGGTCTCGCAGCACCTGAAGCAGTCCGCCGTCATACTCCGTGTCAACCTACCCGGCATCTACAACACCACCAAACCGGGGAAGGATAAACACGGATGTCGCGACCTTG